TCTTCTGGATATGGCTGTCCAATTTTCCCAGCACCATTTATTGAAGAGACTGTCTTATTTCCATCAGATATTCTCTCCTGTTTTGTCAAAGATTAGTTGACCATAGAGTTGAACGTCCATTTGTGGGTTCTCTATTCTGTTCCATTGATCTATGTATCTGTTTTTGTGCCAGTACCATACTGTCTTGATGATCACAGCCTTGTAACAGAGCTTGAAGTCTGGAATTGTGTTGCCCCCATCTTTGGTTGTCTTTTTCCACATTTTCCTGGCAAATATCTTCTCCTATTCCATGGGTTGCCTCTTATTTATAATGCAAGGGTGGTTTGACATTCACAAATTGATCGTGATAGATCACATTAACAATAAATGGTGCTGGGAAAATTGGACAGCCACATGCAGAAGAATGAAACTGGACCATTTCCTTGTACCATACACAAACATAAACTCAAAATGGATGAAAAACCTAAATGTGAGACAGGAATCCATCAGATGCCTAGAGGAGAACAGAGGCAGTAACCCCTTCGACATCAGCCACAGCAAATTCTTTCAGGACATGTCTCTAAAGGCAAGGGAAACAAAAGCAAAAATGAAATTTTGGGACTTCATCAAGATAAAAAGCTTCTGCACTGGAAAGGAAACAGTCAACAAAACCAAGAGGCAACTCACAGACTGGGAGAAGATATTTGCAAATGACATTACAGATAAAGGGCTAGTATCTAAGATCTATAAAGAACTCTTCAAACTCAGCACCCAAAAAACAAATAATCCAGTCAAGAAGTGGGCAGAAGACATGAACAAACACTTCTCCAAAGAAGACATACAAATGGCCAACAGACACACGAAAAAATGTTCAAAATCACTAGCCATCAGGGAAATACAAATCAAAACCACAATGAGATACCACCTTAAGCCAGTTAGAATGACAAAAATGAACAAGACAGTAAACAACATATGTTGGTGAGGATGTGGAGAAAGGGGAACCCTCCTACACTGTTGGTGAGAATGCAAGCTGGTGCAGCCACTCTGAAAACAGTGTGGAGGTTCCTCAAGACATTAAAAATAGAGCTACCCTATGACCCATCGATTGCACTACTAGGTGTTTATCTCAAAGATACAGATGTAGTGAAAAAAGGGACACATACACCCCGATGTTCACAGCAGCATTGTCCACAATAGACAAACTGTTGAAGGAGCAAGGATGTCCTTCAACAGACAAATGTATAAGGAAGATGTGGTTCATATATACAAGGAAATATTACTCAGCCTTCAGAAAAGATGAATACCCACCATTTGCATTGACATGGATGGAACTAGAGGTTATTATGCAAAGTGAAATAAGTCAAGCAGAGAAGGACAATTAATCATATGGTTTCACTCATATGTGGAACATAGGAATAGTGTAGAGGACACAGAGGAAGGGAGGGAAAACTGAATGGGAAGAAATCAGAGAGGGAGACAAACCATGAGAGACTCTGGACTTGGGGAAACAGACTGAGGGTTACAGAAGGGAGGGGGTGGGTGGATGGGGTAACTGAGTGATGGGTATTAAGGAGGGCACATGTGGTGATGAGCACTTGTTGTTGTATGCAACTGGTAAATCATTGAACATTATAGCAAAAACTAATGATGTACTATACGTTGGCTAATGAACATTAAAAAAAGAAAGGAAAAACATAAAATAATTGATCTATCTCAAATTTTTTTAAATTAAAGTTGCAAGACTAAAGAATCATGAGAAAAAAACATGAATTCTATGTGCTGTATTCTACTAGCACTGGAGTTTTACAGTTCTCATTGATTTGTAAACTTGGTCTTGGCTGGATGTTCTTGCTGATCTTCTGGGGGAGGGACCTGTTGCATTGATTCTCAAGTGTCTTTGCCCCAGGCAGAATTGTATTGCCCTTGTCAGAGGGCCAGGCTAAGTCATCTGCTCCGATTTGCTCTTTGTGCCTTTTGTTCCATGAAGGCTTTCCGCTCAGCTTTAGAGGATGAGAATGAAAATGGCAGCCTCCAAATCTCCACCCCCAGAGCCAAAAGCTTGTGGTCCCACTCCTCAGTGCACCCTCAGAGAAAAGCAGTCAATCACTCCTGCCTCCCTGGTCTCCAGGCACACTCCATGCTCACCCAGCCTACAACCGAGCATTTCTATCTCAGGCACATGACCCCATTTTGAGTCTCTAAACCCTGTAGACTCCTGGTGCGCTCCCATGCTGCTCCTCCCAGGGGAGGAAGGAGAGTCTGGCTGGTTCTGCTGATTGTTGGACCCCTGCTCAGAGAGCAGTCGCCTGACTGGGCCATGGTTCACAGTTTATGGCAACCCAAAGCTGAGAGCCCACTCCTGGGCTCACTGTTTGCAGCTGGATTCCCAGCTTTGATGCTTGGGAATTCTGCTACACTCAGGCACCTCTGGTCTTCCTGTGACCCTAAGGGTCCTGAGACCACACTGTCCCAGCTAGGGTTCTGCCCCTGCTTAGCCACCTGAGCAACATCCCTCACCTGAGCAGACTTCTAAAAGTTCTGATTTGGGGCTCCTCTGCTCTATCACTTGCAGGTAGCCAGTTTATGGAGGCTCCCTCCCCACAGTTTAGCTTCCCATATATCACCTGGGATTCACTTCTTTGCACCTCCTACCCTGCAGAAAGTGGTCACTTTTCTGTTTGTAGAGTTGCAGCTGTTCTTTTCTTAGATATCCGGTTGAGTTCGCAGGTGTTCAGAATGGATTGATAACTTTCTAGCTGAATTCCTGGGACCAGATGAAACTAAGATCTCCTACTCTTCAGCCATGCTGGACTCCTCACGCCCCAATATGCCTCTAAAGCCACAAAATAATGTGTTTTTTAAAATTCTCCTAGTAAATTAATTTCAACATCATCAGACTTTATTATAGGATGAAGACAATAATTAAGTATGGGAACTTGGATAATGATATGGTATTCTTAGAAAGAGCATACTAGGCACTAACCACAAGTCTCTCCTCCACTGAGTCAACTGATGAGACCATCAGGGATTTTCATTGCTGATCTCATGATGTTTATTTATAACATTTCCACTTGATTCTGTTTTTATATTTCCCATCACTGCTCTTCCATCTTCTCATGCATGCTTTCCACCTTCCACTAGATCTTTGGACACATTAATCATGAAGATTTTAGGTCCTTGTCAAAGAGTTCCAACATCTGTCATCTCTGAATTGGTCCTATTGATTTGTCTCTTGACCGTGGTAGTTTTTTCTTTGCTACTTTGTGTGTATAATTTTTTTAATTTTTTATTGTTATGTTAATCACCATATATTACATAATTTGTTTTGGTGTACTGTTCCATGATTCATTGTTTGTTCATAACACCCAGTGCTCCATGCAGAATGTGCCCTCCTCAATACCCATCACCAGGCTAACCCATCCCCCCACCCTCCTCCCCTCCAGAAACCTCAGTTTGTTTTTCAGAGTCCATCATCTCTCCTGGTTCGTCTCCCCCTCTGACTTACTCCCCTTCATTCTTCCTCTCCTGCTATTTTCTTCTTTTTCTTTTTTCTTAAAATATGTTGCGTTATTTGTTTCAGAAGTACAGATCTGTGATTCAACAGTCTTTGTGTGTATAATTTTTTAAATTCAATGCTGAACATCATGTGTGGTACAGAAAAAAAACTGAGATAAATAGTAGTTATCCTGGAAATGGGCATGACTCTTACTCTGTCAGGCCATTGATGGGGAAGGTTGAAACAATCCAGACAAGAGTTGAGTTAAATTTGGGATTTGTTGTTAGCATTACTTCTTTTGTGCCAAGAGTTCAAATTCCTGCCATCTCACCACCTTGGGCATAGGATACAGGCTGGGGTGTTGGGATGCCTTTCTCAGGTTTAGTGTCCACACTCAGCTTTCATACACTGTGGCTTGCTTGTGCCAGATCTGACCTTCTCCATTGTTCTTGCCTCTCTCCAGTAGTGGACGGCTGCTTGTTACAGGTTCTGGGATCATGGTGAAAGGCAGAGGATCCTCTGTGTCCTGATCCAGACTTAGCCCTGTGCTGGCTTTTACACCTGGGCAGGGTGTTCCTGTCCCTCTTCCCTCTGGTGCCCAGCTTGCGTGGGTGGAAGATGCCTGCCTCACATCCCCCTCTCCCTCAGGCTTGGTTTCAGTATAGCATCCTGGGCCCAGCAAGTCTTCCTGCCCTGGCCTCAGGGGCACAGGGCTTTTGCTTCTATCTGTCTCCAGCAGCACTGAGTCATTGCCTGCCCCTTTCCCCACAGCTTTTGCATTGTGAGGAAGAAGGGTTAGGTAGGTGGTGGTTTCATGCCAGATCCACACAGGTCAGTCCCTCTGATATATCTGCATCCCTGAGAGCACTCTCTCTTAGCTTTGCCTGACCTCATCTTCCTTATAAGCTTCTGGTGAGTGAATGAAAGCCCTCTACCTTTCCTGTACAAGCCCCCAACGATTCTGGCCCAAACTCAGGCTCTGGCAATTCATTAGCATTTGGGCAGACTTCTTCCTGTCCACACTATGGCTTTGTCCCCTCTCCACTTGGAGGGCTCTGTCCCTCCTAGGACTTTAGGCTGCTTCATAGCTCTGTAAGGGTAAGGAAAGTTTGACTTGTGGTTTGTCTGGTCTTTCTTGTCATTAGGGCAACACTCATTAGCTTTCTACATCCTTGGTCGAAGCAGAAGTCACATTTTCCTCAGAGCTTTCCCTTGGTGAAATGCATTCATGCCAGCAAATATCTTCCATGTTATAAAGAGACTTGTGGATGAGGTTCACACCCAATCATGATTTGTCATAAATTGGACTGAAGTTGTTTACACCACCAATTACTTAATATCCAATGAATATCTACTCTATGTGAGCTCTGAGTGCACTGAGGAAATATATCTTGCAGGGTTTGTGTTTTTTTTTTAAGATTTTATTTATTTATTTCACAGAGAGATAGCGAGAGCAGGAACACAAGCAGGGGGAGTGGGAGAGGGAGAAGCAGGCCTCCTGTTGAGCAGGGAGCCTGATGTGGGGCTCAATTCCAGGACCCTGGGATCATGACCTGAGCCGAAGACAGACGCTTAATGACTGAGCCACCGAGGCGCCCCCATCTTGCAGGGTTTTTTAACCAGTGATGCTAACACCCATGGGTAGAGAGAGATTTTTGTTTGATTGACTGTCCTGCTTTCCTCTTGTTTGTTTTTTATTTCAATCTGGGTAAGAAACAGAGCTTGAAAGACTGACGAATGTTCAAGAATCCATTAAACATTGGGTCAGTGCTCAGCTCCTTTTCATCAACAACAGGCTTTAAAGTAAAATTTTGCAGAATGGTGGTCAGGAATAAAAATATCTCCATTCGAGCAAGACCTTCTCCAAGACATGCCCGTTTTCCTGGAAGCAAAAATCATTTTATTAATTGGCTTTTGTGAAGATTGACAAAGGAAAATGGAAATTTTTATCATACAGATTTCTGTTCTTTGCCCACCAAGGATGGCTGGGACCTGGAGCCTGCTGTCTTCAGGTGACCCATCAGAATAACAGGACAGGAAGCCCCCCCTTGGGCAATCATTTCCAGGTACAAGAGGGAAGTGACACAAATATTGTTTTCAGAAAAGTTCACATTGAGCTGTAGGGACAGCCTCCTTCACAATCTAGAGATTAATGTCATGTATATACAGAAATAATTTGATTTTTGCATTATTGTTATTCTAGATTGCCATATATTACAGGGACAAATGAAAATCATTTCATAATCATTTCCACAATCATTTTGTTACAAAATATATTTTAAAATATACTGAATTTATTTATCTGTGATTCCATTTTAATGGATTAAATTGATAGATGGCCAGAAATGTGGAGCTTTATTTACCAATAGAGAAGGGGATGAAGAAGTCACTCTTCCGAAAGCTGCCATTTTTATCCAGAAAATGGTTCGGATCAAACCTTTGTGGGTTTGTAAACTCTTTACTGTCATACAACACAGAAGAGAGCAATGGGAACACAGTTGTGCCCTAAAACCAAGAACATCTAATATTTAATAAGAGACTTCTTTCCAGAGAGCCCAGTGTCAATTGCTGGAAGATGGGATGACAAGTGACACAGATGACTCTGAGGGGAATGGCTCCATCACAATGATGTGCCCACAGCATACCCCGCATCTGTGGGAGGAATAGCTGAGGGGCAAATGACACATTTGGGGAAGTCAGGTGGAAATTGATGCTGAAGTTTCCAAGCAAATGGGTAGGACTCTTGTCCAGGGCATGAATGTGAAATAGACTCTCAGGGTTCCCTGGCTTTACCACCATGTAAACACAGACTCTAAAACACACATCCTTGGATCTGCCTTCACCCAGCACAAGAACCAGTCCCCCGAGCCAAGGCAAACCTTGAAAGATAATAACAGAAAATATTACCGAGAGAGGGAAACTTTGTGTACCTATCTACAGCAGAACTAAATTCAAGAAATTTTATGTTTGATACTTTTTAATGGAAAGCAAAATTGCTTTTTAAGGAGTTACAAATGGAACCACAACAATTAGGACAGAACTGAAAGAGAAGACAAATGTTGTTCATAAACAAAACCATTACAGTTGAGTAGATGATACTTCTATTTTTCTGAATGAAGTTGTGAACATATGATGATGATACACGTTGTATATGTAAATATGCAATTGCAAAAGACACCACTTTAGGAGAAGCTTGTGCTTGAGGAAACACGAAGTGATGAGGATGATGTAAATTGGAGGGTTATGCAAGTGCAGATTGGGTATAGGTTTTTTTTTTTAATTAAGTCACAAAATATGCTCTCTTTTAAAATATTGTCTCTTCTACATTCTCTTTATTCTTTATTTTGTAAATCTCACCATCATGTTGCAATTTGCCTTTCCTCTCTCCATGTCTCAGACCCTACCTCTCATATGATATTTCTCTTTATTTCCCCGCAGTGCATCCTGGATAATCTTCCCCAACGCCGTCAGCACATTATTTCTCACCTCAGTCATGTATAATAGATCCATTACACTGTTTAGGCCAACTATAATACTTTAAAATTTAAAATAACTACTAAAACTTAAAATAACAGCTTTATTGGGATATGAGTTATATATCATAAAATTTAACCTTTTAAGGCATACAGTTCAGTAGTTCTAGCATATCCACAGAATTGTATAACCATCGCCTAATTGTAAACATTTTATTCAGCCCAAAGAAACCCCCATACCCTATTAGTAGTCATTCCCCATTCCCCTTGACTTCCAAACCTAGTAAACACTAGTCTAATATCTGGTTCTATGCATTTCCTTATCTGGACATTTCATATGAATGAAATCATACAACATGCATCCTTTGGTCTTGCTTCTCTCACTTAGCATATTATTTTTAAGGTTTATATGTGTTGTAACATGAATCAGTACATCATTCCTTTTATGACTGAATAATATTCCATTGTATGGCTAGACCACTTCTTTTTAATCTATTCGTGAGTTGTGGACATTTGGGTTGTTTCCATTTTTTGGCTGCCATGAAGAATGCTACTGTAGACACTTATGTACAGGGTTGGGGTGTGTGTGTGTGTGTGTGTGTGTGCACGTGCACGTGCACGTGCATGCATGCACATTCACTGTTTGGTTTGTGAGTTCTGCACCCTAATATCAGTGAAACTTTTGTGTCCAAGCCTAGGCATGGCATAGGACTAGGCTTCTTCCTTACCCAGAATCCGTGGCACTGATGATTCTCCTTTATGCTTGTTGGCTTGTGAGAGGAATTCTTCTAGGTCTCAGAAAGCCCATGGCCTTCATTCAGGGGCCACATGGAGCAGCACACCATTCTTGCCCAAGGGGGTCAAATCTTTGGCTCCTAGATGCTAGGATCTCTCAAAGCCTGAATCCATGTGAGTCACCCACATTTTTACCAAAGTTGGTTTTATTGGAATAAAAATTTTAAAAGCTAATTGGGGTGTTATAGACTATACTTAATTTTAATTTGCATTTGCTAGTAAGCTTGAATATCTTTCCATACACATATTGACCATATTGACCCTATAGGTGTTCTAGTCTGTGAATTTCTTAGTTTTATCTTTTGTTCATCTGTTCCTTGTTCTGTGCTTTATTTCCTTATGACTTTGTGAGGTCTTTACATAATCAAGAAGTTATTTATTTGTCAATTATATGCACTACGGTTACTTTTTCATGGTCTTTAGCTTAACTTTGGCCTTGTGTTGCCTTTTGTTCTACAGAACATTTTCCCTTTTAATGGAATCACATTCAGCCATGCTTTTCTTCAAGGTCATGCCATTTCTATTGTGTTTAAGAAGGCTTTTCCTGCCCCAATATCATAAAAATATTTCCCATCTATTATTATAAATGAATTAAATTTACCTTTTACATGAAAGTCCTTAATATTTCCAGAAATAATTTTTCTGGGAGGTAGGGACTTGATATTTTTTTCTATCATCATTTACTAAACAGTCTTTTTCCTTCCCTAATTTACAATGTCCTCTAATCACACACACCTGTCTAGGTCTCTTTTAAGGCTCCCTACTCTGTTTCATGGGGGAAACCCCACTATTTGAAACAATCATGATATTCAACACCAACATTAACTTAATATTATCACTGTTATCTTTTTAAAAATCTGTGTGGCTTTTCTTGGCATGTTTTCACTCTATATGAATCTAGGATCTTCTTGTGTTCCATGGAAAACACAGTTCAAAATTTTATTTGAATTGAAAATAATTTATACATTAATGTGGGAAAATGCCATCTTGGTGTTGGTTTTTCCCTACTAACATATTAAAAATATCTCTATTTACCTAGGTCTTCTTTATGCCCTTCAATATCTTGTTAATTTTCTCCACAAGTGTCTTGCACAGATTTTGTTAGATTAAGGAAACAGTCAACAAAACAAAGTGGCAACCCACAGAATGAGAGAAGATATTTGCAAATGACACTACAGATAAAGGGCTGGTATCCAAGATCTATAAAGAACTTCTCAAACTCAACACCCAAAAAGCAAATAATCAAGTCAAAAAGTGGGCAGAAGATATGAAAAGACACTTCTCTGAAGAAGACATACAAATGGCTAACAGACACATGAAAAAATATTCATCATCATTAGCCATCAGGGAAATTCAAGTCAAAACCACATTGAGATACCACCTTACACCAGTTAGAATGGCAAAAATGGACAGGGAAAGAAACAACAAATGTTGGAGAGGTTGTGGAGAAAGGAGAACCCTCTTATACTGTTGGTGGGAATGCAAGTTGGTACAGCCACTTTGGAAAACAGTGTGGAGGTGCCTCAAAAAATTAAAAATGAGCTACCCTATGACCCAGTAATTGCCCTACTGGGTATTTACCTCAAAGACACAGATGTAGTGAAAAGAAGGGCCATATGCACTGGATGCTCATAGCAGCAATGTCTGCAATAGCCAAACTGTGGAAAGAGCTGAGATGCCCTTCAACAGATGAATGGATAAAGAGAATGTGGTCCATATATACAATGGAATATTACTCAGCCATCAGAAAAGATGAATACCCAACTTTTACATCCACATGGATGGGACTGGAGGAGATTATGCTAAGTGAAATAAGTCAAGCAGAGAAAGTCAATTATCATAGGGTTTCACTTATTTGTGGAACATAAGGAATAGCATGGAGGACATTAGGAGAAGGAAGGGAAAAATAAAGGGAGGGAAATCGGAGGGAGAGATGAACCATGAGAGACTATGGACTCTGAGAAACAAACAGCATTTTAGAGGGGAGGGGGGAGGGGGGATGGGTGAGCCCGGTGATGGGTATTAAGGAGGGCATGTACTGCATGGAGCACTGGGTGTTATACGAAAAGAATGGATCGTGGACCACCACATCAAAAACTAATGATGTATTGTATGGTGACTAACATAACATAATAAAATTTTTAAAAAAAGATTAATTTCTATGACTTTATTTCTTATAATTTTTGAGTCCATTTTAAATAGATCTTCTTTAAATAAATAAAAATAATTTGTGTTTCACCACTGCTGTTGTACCTAATCCATCTTTTCTTTCTATCATATGAATTTATGATCATAAATTTTTTATCACTAAAATATTATATTTGTTCCTAAGTAAAAAAAAAAAGAGGAGTTCTGCAGCATGCATTTTCTTCCCAATTCTTTTCATGCTGCCCATGTCATTTTCCTTTTATATCTTACTGTTGTTTAAATCCAAATATATTCCAATTTTTATAAGAATTTCTGCTTTTTAGTTGATTCTTTCATCTATTCCCTCATACTCCTTTGTTCTTAATCAGTCTCTCTAGAGGTTTGTTATTTTAACAATCTTCCCCTAAATCTAAATCTTATTTATTTTTTCTATCAGTAGTTTCTTTTTGGTATTATGACCTCATTTGTGCTCTCTGAGAGTCTGCACTGTTATTCTTTCTCTACCTTCTAATTTCATCATTCACTTATTAGACTTCAGTCTTTCCCAATATTCATTTTCTTGTCCTTAGGTCTATCTCACAAGCATTTCTAGTGGAGTTTTATTTAAGTGCAAATTATAATAGAAATTATGAAATCTCTGGAATAAAAACTGCCCAAAATACTTTTTCTCCTATCTTTTCTTAAGATACAAAAATTTTTTGGCCATGATTACTAAAATGTCTCTTAAGAAAACACGTTTTTCGTAAATTTTTTACTTACACAGAGTTGGCCAATGGGGCTAATAGAAATCTACTTCCCTTAAAATTAAAATATCAGGCACTTAATCACTTAATTGTCAAAATAAAAAAAATTTAAAGGAGGAAGATGACTGACCTTAGGAATGAAGAACTGTCTAAACTTGGTGTCCTGAATCACAGCATGAGGCAGATTGGAGGGAATGAGATTGATGTACCTCTGGACCTCGTGCACCACGGCATCTGTGTAGGGCATCTGGGCCCTGTCGCTCATGCAGGGGACCCGGTCCCGGCCCACCACTTTGTCGATTTCCTCGTGAACTCTACCTGCATGAAACAACAGTGTCTGTCACTCATGAGCCATGCAGATGATATCCTGAAATGTCATCCAAAACTGGGCTACAAGGGTGTAGAAACTCAATCCTACAAACTCGCAAAGCAAAGCATTCCCTTCTGTAGGTCATGCTGTTTGAAGCTGTGGTAAGAATGTGTTTGGTTTGGCTGAAATTGCCCATAATACAGGATGTGCTCAGGGCCCTCCACAAGGTGGTCCTGAATCCTTCATGTGTTGGTTACGAGAACTAGGAGGGCAGGGTTACAACCATTCAGTTCTACACAGATCTTTGCAAGCTAATAATGCAGAGAATTCTGTCTCCAGATGACTATCTAAGACATCACCAGTAACCATTATTCTGAACATTCACAAGAAGTGGTGGGAAAATGCTAACTAAGTGCCCCTTCGTACCAATCAGCTAGAAACATGTTCCTCTCAACAACACTCTAGGGTAAGTTTTAATATTCCTGTTTTTTAAAAGACTTTATTTATTTGAGAGAGAGAGAGCACATATGCAAGAGAGCATGGGGGAGAGTGGAGAGAAGCAGAGGGAGAGAGAGAAGCAGACTCACTGCTGAGTGGGGAGCCCCACACGGGAATCAATTCCAGGACCCTGGGATCATGACTTGACCCCAATATTCTTGTTTTTAAGAGGAAACAGCTACAGTTCAGAGACATCAAGTAACCTCATGGAGGCTCTGTCCTATTGTGGAGCCAGGATTGAAACCAAGACTGTTTTATTATAACCATACACTGGGTGTTATATGCAACTAATGAATCGTTCAACACTACATCAAAAAATAATGATGTACTATATGTTGGCTAACTGAATATAATAAAAAAATTTAAAAAAAACAAAAACAAAAAACCACACACTGCTTTTGGAACAAAACTTCCCAAGCCAAGAAAGTGTTGATTTCCTTAAAGCTTTCAAGAGACAGCTATTCTAATTCCATGAGTTAGCTCCGGAGAACCACAGAAGCACTGGAGATGGGCCCTCAGCTCTCACTTCGTGCTGCTTTGTATCAAGGGGGAGACTGAATTGAGAATGCACGTGCTTGTCCTGAGCCACACAGCCAATGTGTGACATGTGTGACAGGAGTGTCACACGCCTATCCTCACGTGTGAAATGAGGTTTGAGATTCAGAAACTAATTCCTTCCTCTTTCACTGCTCAAAAAATTATTTATGCCATTTCATTTTATCTTCATCATGATTAAATATTCCAGTTTATTTAATGCCTACTCCTATAGGACAGTATACACAGAGATTTCTAAAGTACACATCAAAATTTGGGAATACTGATCAAAAGGTATTTCAGTTACTCATTGCTGTTAACATAGCAATTCAGTTTCTAAAAATTTATCCCAAGATCATATCAAGTGCATATAAAATTTTTGGTACAATGATTTTTTTCAATTATGTGTGATAGAAAAAAAATTAAATAATTAAAATTATCACAAATAATTAGTTAAATAAATTATGGTATGCTTCAGTATGAAAAATTCCATGCTAATTTAAAATAATATTTTATAGAATACCCAATATTCATAGCAGCAATGTCCACAATAGCCAAACTGTGGAAGGAGCCAAAATGCCCTTCAACAGATGAATGGATAAAGAAGATGTGGTTCATATATACAAGGGAGTATTACTCAGCCATCAGAAAGGATTAATATCTACCATTTACATCAACATGGATGGAACTGGAGAGCATTATGCTAAGTGAAATAAGTCAATCAAGAAACACAATTGTCATATGGTTTCACTCATGTGGAACATAAGGAATAGTGCAAAGGACAATAGGGGTGGGGGGAAACAGAATGGGAAGAAATCAGAGGGAGACAAAGCATATGGGACACTTTTTTTTTTAATTTATTATGTTATGTTAGTCACCATACAATACATCATTAGTTTTTGATGTGGTGATCCACGATCCATTCTTTTCTTTATAACACCCAGTGCTCCATGCAGTACATGCCCTCCTTAATACCCATCACCGGGCTCACCAATCCCCCCCTTCCTCCTCCCCTCTAAAACCCTGGTTGTTTCTCAGAGTCCATAGTCTCTCATGGTTCATCTCTCCCTCCGATTCCCCCCGTTCATTTTTCCCTTCCTTCTCCTAGTGTCCTCCGTGCCATTCCTTATGTCCACAAATAAGTGAAACCATATGATAATTGACTTTCTCTGCTTGACTTATTTCCCTTAGCATAATCTCCTCCAGTCCCATCCATGTGGATGTAAAAGTTGGGTATTCATCCTTTCTGATAGCTGAGTAATATTCTATAGTATATATGGACCACATCTTCTTTATCCATTCATCTGTTGAAGAGCATCTCAGCTCTTTCCACAGTTTGGCTATTGCGGACATTGCTGCTATGAACATTGGGGTGCATATGGCCCTTCTTTTCACTACATCTGTGTCTTTGAGGTAAATACCCAGTAGGGCAATTGCTGGGTCATAGGGTAGCTCTATTTTTAAATTTTTGAGGAACCTCCACACTGTTTTCCAAAGTGGTTGTGCCAACTTGCATTCCCACCAACAGTGTAAGAGGGTTCCTCTTTCTCCACAACCTCTCCAACATTTGTTGTTTCTTTCCCTGTCTGTTTTTGCCATTCTAACTGGTGTAAGGTGGTATCTCAATGTGGTTTTGACTTGAATTTCCCTGATGGCTAATGATGATGAACATTTTTTCATGTGTCTGTTAGCCATTTGTATGTCTTCTTCGGAGAAGTGTCTTTTCATATCTTCTGCCCACTTTTTGACTTGATTATTTGCTTTTTGGGTGTTGAGTTTGAGAAGTTCTTTATAGATCTTGGATACCAGCCCTTTATCTGTAGTGTCATTTGCAAATATCTTCTCCCATACTGTGGGTTGCCTCTTTGTTTGTTGACTGTTTCTTTTGCTGTGCAGAAGCTTTTTATCTTCATGAAGTCCCAAAAGCTCATTTTTGCTTTTGTTTCACTAGCTTTTGGAGATGTATCTTGAAAGAAGTTGCTGTGGGCGTTGTCAAAGAGGTTACTGCCTATGTTCTCCTCTAGGATTTTGATGGATTCCTGTTTCACATTGAGGTCTTTCATCCACTTTGAGTTTATCTTTGTGAATGGTGTTAGAGAATGGTCGAGTTTCATTCTTCTGCATGTGGCTGTCCAATTTTCCCAGCACCAGTGATTGGAGAGACTGTCTTTTTTCCATTGCATGTTTTTTCCTGCTTTGTCAAAGATTATTTGACCATAGAGTTGAGGGTCCATATCTGGGTTCTCTATTCTGTTCCATTGGTCTATATGTCTGTTTTTGTGCCAGTACCATGCTGTCTTGGTGATCACAGCTTTGCAATATAGCTTGAAATCGGGCAACGTGATGCCCCCAGCTTTGTTTTTCTTTTTCAACATTTCCATGGCGATTCAGGGTCTTTTCTGATTTCATACAAATTTTAGGGTTGTTTGTTCCAGCACTTTGAAAAATGTCATTGGAATTTTGATCAGGATGGCATTGAAGGTATAGATGGCTCTGGGTAGCATAGACATTTTAACAATGTTTATTTTCTGATCCATGAACATGGAATGTTTTCTCCATCTTTTTGTGTCTTCTTCATTTTCTTTCATGAGCATTCTGTAGTTCCTAGAGTATAGATCCTTTACCTCTTTGGTTAGGTTTATTCCGAGGTATCTTATGGTTTTTGGTGCAATTGTAAATGGAATCGTTTCTCTAATTTCTCTTTCTACAGTTGCGTTGTTAATGTATAAGAAAGCAACTGATTTCTGTGCATTGATTTTGTATCCTGCCACATACTGAATTGCTGTATGAGTTCTATTAATTTGGGGGTGGAGTCTTTTGGGTTTTCCACATAAAGTATCATGTCATCTGCGAAAAGAGAGAGTTTGACTTCTTCTTTGCCAATTTGAATACGTGTTCTTTCTTTTTGTTGTCTGATTGCTGTTGCTAGGACTTCTAGTACTATGTTGAACAATAGTGGCGAGAGTGGACATCCTTGACGTGTTCCTGATATTAAGGGAAAGGCTCTCAGCTTTCCCCCATTGAGGATGATATTCACTGTGGGTTTTTCAGAGATGGATTTTATGAACTTGAGGAATATTCCCTCTATACCCATACTCTGAAGAGTTTTAATCAGGAAAGGATGTTGTATTTTCTCAAATGCTTTTTCTGCATCAACTGAGAGGACCATATGATTCTTCTCCTTCCTCTTATTAATGTGTTCTATCACATTGATTGATTTGCAAATGTTGAACCACACTTGCATCCCGGGGATAAATCCCACTTGGTCGTGGTGGATGATCCTTTTAATGTATTGTTGGATCCTATTAGCTAGGATTTTGTTAAGGATTTTGGAATCCATATTCATCAGGGATATCAGTCTGAAATTCTCCTTTTTGACACTATATCATTCTTGAAGGGTCTATCCAACAAGAAGATCTAACAGTTGTAAATATCTATGCCCCCAACATGGAAGCAGCCATCTACATAAGCCAACTGTTAACCAAAATAAAGAGTCATATTGATAACAATATGTTAACTGTAGGAGACCTCGATACTCCACTCTCAGCAATGGACAGATCATCTAAGCAGAAAATCAACAAGGAAACAAGAGCTTTGAATGATACACTGGACCAGATGGACCTCATAGATTTTTACAGAACATTCCACCCTAAAACAACAGAATACCCATTCTTCTCGAGCACACACGGAACTTTCTCCAGAACAGACCACATACTGGGTCACAAATCAGGTCTCAACCGATACCAAAAGATTGAGATTATTCCCTGCATATTCTCAGACCACAATGCTTTAAAACTGGAACTCAATCACAAGAAAAAAATTGGCAGAAATTCAAACACTTGGAAGCTAAAGACCACTCTGCTCAAGAATGTTTGGGTCAACCAGGAAATCAAAGAAGAACTTAAATAATTCATGGAAATCAATGAGAATGAAAACACGTCAGTCCAAAACCTATGGGATACTGCAAGGCGGTCCTAAGGGGGAAATACATAGCCATCCAAGCCTCACTCATAAAAATAGAAAAATCCCAAATTCACCAACTAACTCTACACCTTAAAGAACTAGAGAAAAAGCAACAAATGATGCCTAAGCCATGCATTAGAAGAGAAATAATTAAAATTAGAGCAGAGATCAATGAATTAGAAACCAGAAACACAGTAGATCGGATCAATGAAACTAGAAGTTGGTTCTTTGAAAGAATTAGTAAGATCGATAAACCACTGGCCAGACTTACCCAAAAGAAAAGAGAAAGGACCCAAATTAATAAAATTATGAATGAAAAGAGAGAGATCACGACTAACACCAAGGAAATAGAAACAATTATTAGAAATTATTATCAACAGCATATGGGACTCTTGACCCTGGGAAACAAATTGATGGTTGCGGAAAAGGAGGTGGGTGGGATATGGGGTAACTGGGTGATGGGCATTAAGGAGGGCACATGATGTGATGAGCACTGGGTATTATATAAAACTGATAAATCATTGAATGTTATTTCAGAAACCAATGATGTACTATACTTTGGCTAATTGGATTTAAATTAAAAAAACAAACAAACAGGGGTGCCTGGTGGCTCAGTCGTTAAGCGTCTGCCTTTGGCTCAGGTCATGATCCCAGGGTCCTGGGATTGAGCCCCACATCGGGCTCCCTGCTCAGCGGGGAGCCTGCTTCTCCCTCTCCCACTCCCCCTGCTTGTGTTCCCTCTCTCACTGTGTCTCTCTCTGTCAAATAAATAAATAAAATCTTTAAAACAAAACCAAAACCAAAAACATCCCTTCCTTAAAAAAAACTAATAATGTGTAAACAAGCCCATGATATATTACTAAGTGAAAAAATAAGGTTCAATGCAGTAAAATTCTGACTGTTTACAAATGTGCATATGCACAGAGAAAGAGGGTTAGGCAGGAGACTGTCCAAATATAAGTATAAACTTTTATCTGAATATAACTACTTGGTGAATTTTTAAAAATTTGTCTACACAGTTTTCTGTATTTTCCAATTTTTATAAGATGGACCTGTGTTAATTAACTTTTAATCAGGGAAAGCTAGTACATGAACAAGGTACATGGAAGAAATAACTGTGTTGAAGAACTGGGATTCTGTCTTCTTGCCCCTGTGTTGCCCCCCAGCTGGAAGCACCCCACTCACTCTCCACCTCTGGGTGTTTCAGCAGGATCAGCAGTGCTAGCCGCAGGGTGCTGGTGACTGTCTCGGTGCCAGCGCTGAACAGATTAAAGCCAACAGCTACTAGGTTCTCTGAATTAAATTCAGAATATGGATTGTGTTTTTCCTGTAGATAATGGAGTAATCAGATGCATGATTTCATAATAGGTCTTCTGTTAGATACAGACAGATACAGCTTAGAAACAGTAGTAAGTCCTTAGGAGGTTGAATATTTACTCTGTATATGAATGGTTATTTTTATGTCTGTTTTTTGTGCCTGAGTGATTTTCATTTGATACCTAATTTATAATCGGCAAAGAAATTATTTCTAACATTTTGCATAGTGGAAAATATACTTTAAGATGTTTTGCTTTTGACATAGTCTTGAAGAAAGGGTAAAAAAAAAAACAGGACCTGCTTGTGTATAAACGTGCACACGACACACTTGTTCGCGTGCATGGACTCACACACAGGTAGATAGGCATGCACAGCATCCCCCAAGGCACTTATTGTCTGCCCCATGGCTGGTTCTGCCCAGGCATTAGAGTAAGGTGACCTGGGCTCCCAAAGTAGCGATGGTGGCAACTCTCACCCTGCATATCAGCCAGTTTACCCACAGTTGTAGGACTATCCAGTGAGCTCCTCGTGTGAACAGTCCAACTCGGATCACTTTGCCTAGCAGGTGCACATACTCAGCCATCAGTCAGAGAAAGGTATGCACTCCACATGTAAGCCCGATGGTGGGAAAACACACTGTGGAGGCCCAGGGGTTTCCAGACAGGGGTTGTCAGGCCTGGACCTGAATGCGTGGAGCCCAGAAGAGTGCTGGGCCTGGCAACACCTGTGCTCCAAGGGCAGCCTCCACACCTACCTCCTCCATCCTGTTGAGGAAGCAGTCGGTGTAATCCTGGGGCTGCTCAGGCTTCAGAGTCCCTTGATGCTGTGCCACTCTCTCCAAAATGAAATTTATTATATTCTGAACGTTTTTAAAAAATTTCTGGTGTCGCCCAGGAAGATAGTGAATGAACGATGGCCACAAATTGTAGAGCTGTAGGGAAAAGCCACACCCCCATTCCATCACCAGGATTCAAAAGCCAAAAGAGGGTTGGATGGTCTTGAAGCATCTTTGTTCCAGGGGAACCTATCCTCTGCAGCCCCTTCCCATTTCTAGCTGCAGGATCTCAGGGTGGGCTGCCACTGGTGTTAAAAAGAGCCAGGGAAGTGTGTGGGGACCTCAGAGGAGACATGTTGGCAGAGGGAAGCCTGACTGCCCCTCCACAGGCCCTCAGCTGTGTTCCATAAGTAACAGCTTCCTTCCATCTCCCACCTCCCCCTGTACACCCTGCACTGCTTCCTCCCTGCTGCCCAGACTGGGACTCTGCACTCCGGCTCATCCCTGGGACCAACTATGGGTCATCCCACAACCAGAGACAACTGGCTTTACCTGCGCCCAGAAGGAGCTCACTATGGAAAAGTTTTCATTCAGCAACATAATCAGCTGCAGGAATTCTTCATCTTGGTAGTCGAAGTGCTCCTTAAAGAGGATGGAGCTGATTATGTTGCAGGGAGCACAAGCGAGGATGAAAGTAGGGTCCACAGGCTGAGCTGGTAAGAGAGAAGGTTATAAAAATCAAGGAAAATTTCTGTGATTGGTCTACACTTTCCAAATAGAAAAGACAGACAGTGGTCCCAGCAGGGTGGTGCTGGGGTCAGGGAAGCATGGGGAGGTAACCCTAACTTCCCACCAAATGTCTGGCCAGGGGCACATGCCAACCAACCCTCTGTCTGTGTGAGGGCCTGCACCAGGTGTTGGGCTTCTTCCTGGATGTGGTCCTCCATGCTCCTCTTCCCCATCCCAAGGTTCCGCAGGATCATGAGAGTAAACCGGCGCAGTTGCTTCCACCGCTGGCTGTGACTGAAAACAATCCCTGAGGGAAGAACCAAGGACGGGAGTCTAGTCACCAGAGGGCAGACAGAGGGGTTCTGGCGCAGGATGGGCTTCCTTGAGAACTTGTTTCAGAGGGTCAGAGCATCATGAACTTTTCCTGTTCTATAGACAAACAGCAACATTTATCTCAGGCTAATGCTAGGAAGTCGATTTTTTAAAGTCCACAGATGTCAGTTCTTCCCTGGAGGCAGCTCATCTGAAGGGCTTTACTCTCAGACCCATCCCAATTTGGCTCCTGCCAAAATGCCAGCTGGCTGCTTCCTTCCCTTTGTCCTATAGGAAAGCCCCATTAGGAGACACCCCACATCCAGCTGCAAAAACTGAAGTCATTTCTGCCATCCTCCCCACAGGGCTGTTGGGAAACACTGGCATGAGAGCGGGTGAGCCCACACCAGCTACCCATATCCATCAGTGGGGAAGCAAAGATATTTCTGATAATTTAAAGAATTCAAATCAATGTCTTCAGATTGATTCAATAGGATCTTGGTGCCATGAGCAAATTAATAAGCAGGTATAAAAGAAGCAAACAGGACAAAAGAGAAAGTTTGTAAGAACTAGAAACTGAGGGCATCTCTTCTTTTGACAGTGATGGGCTAGGTGATTCTGCTCAATCCCTTCTGCTGAGATAGAGATGCTGCATAAATCTATGTATGGTTCATAAGGACCAGTTGGAAGGCATCACAGAGCCAACAAAGGAATGGGGAACTGTGGGGAATGCTTTCCCATAGAAGCACAGGTGAGAGACAAAAACCCAGCAGAGCTGTTGAACACTGGGAAGGTCCCAGAAGCAAGAGTTGAGCCTGCCAAGGAGGGCATCTGTGGTAAACATCTGGGGCTGCACCCAGAAGTAAGGGTGACCTGGAGACAGACCAGCCCGATGGAGTCCACAGCCCAGCTTGAAGTCACCTGCTGGTGAAGGGCTAGGGTGCTCGCGGTGCTGCTGCCCCACCCACTCCAACGAAGCAATAAATCCTCTCTGTAGGAACATACCGCTATTAAAATCAGAAATTACCTCTGCAATTTTTCAGAGAAGATGTCTGGAACTTAATACAAAATTAGAAGTCATTCCAATAGACACGAGAAAAGGTCACAGCAACCGGTGGCAAAATCAGAGACTTTATAATAACTGTTGAGTAGGTCAGAGTTAAAAATATGATTAAGAATTTGTTAGAGATTGGGACGCCCGGGTGGCTCAGTTAATTAATCATCTGTCTTCGGCCCAGGTCATGGTCTCAGGATCCTGGGATCGAGTCCCACAATGGGCTCCCTGCTCAGTGGAGAGCCTGCTTCTCCCTCTGCCTCTGCTGCTCCCCCAGCTCGTGCTTGTTCTCTCTCTCTCTCTCTCTCTCTCTCTCTCTCTCTCTCTCTCTCTCT